CCTGAACAGTTTATACCCTTCCACAACAGTGCTGTAGTCATGCGAGTCATCCCACCAAGTCTCCGTTATTTCAATCAATTCACAGTTCTTTGACTGAGCCAGGGCCTCTAATTCTTCCTGTTTGTTTCCCAGGCTTCTTGCATTTGTGTACAAACACCTTAGCTAGTTGATTTCCCTACCTTCTCCATTCGAGTCAGGGGTCCTCCTTTGTTGCTCGTTCCTCCTTGTGTTTCTTCCCCGTATCCGACTTCCTCACTTACCTCAGGGCTTTGGTCACCGTCCCCCAACAAACCTAGTTTAAAGCCCTCCTCACTAGGTTTGCAAGCCTGTCCGTGAAGATGCTCTTTCCTCTCTTGTTTAGGTGGATCCCATCTCTTCCTAACAATCCTTGTGCCCGGAACAGATTCCCATGGTCTAAGAAACCAAAGCCCTCTCTCCAACACCACCTGCGCAACCACACATTTACTTCCTGAATTCGACGATCCCTATCTGGACCTTTTCCTTCAACCAGAAGGATGAACAAGAACACTTCCACTTCAAATTTCTTGATCCTTCTTCCCAGCACTACATAATTTGCTGTGACCCACTCAAGGTCATTCTTGGCCGTATCGTTAGTTCCTACATAGAGAAGCAGGAAGGAGTAGCGATCCAAAGGTTTAATCATTTTTTGAAGACTCTTGGTCACATCCTGAATGCGAGCTCCCGGTAAGCAGCACACTTCTTGAGATTGCGGGTCTGGATGGCAGATGGATGACTCAGTCCCTCTTATGAGGGAGTCCTCGACCACCACCATCCATCTTCTTCTTTTGGGGGTGGTGGTCGTGGAACCCCCATCTCTAGGACTACTCATCCCATGCCTTCCAGTAGATAGTGTTCCCTTCTGATTTCTTCCCTGAGAGGTGCCTGCCACAGCATTCTCCACTGCAGCGCCTGTGGAGAGAGCCTGAAAGCGATTACTTACCTCTACATGAATGGGGGAGACCTGAATTGGCCGCCGCCTTCTTCTAGAGGTTACACGCTGCCAGTTTTCTTCCTCGTCCTGTACTGCTCTGACTGGCTCTTCCTGTGCCTTCAGGATTAAATACTGCCTTCTATCGAGGAAGTCTTCATCCTCTCTGATGGAACGGAGGATTGATACTTGGGTGTCAGGTCCCCTAATTTTTTCTTCCAAAATGGCAACCAGCTTGCATTTCGTGCAGATGAAGTCCCTTCTTTCTTCCGGAGGAAGACAAACATGGCACATGCTGTGCAGGTAACAACAGCACACCTATCACTATCCATACCTGCCTTCCTTCTGAGAGATTCCTCAGATTTTATTCAATGCCTCTTTGAAGGGCAGGAGGGTAGCAAAAAGATTTTAAAGAATGGCGAATGTATCTCGCCTCCTTCCCACTCCTCTTCCTAACTCCCTCTCCAAACGCCCTGTTAACAGTCCCTGTTCACAATCTGGTGGTTACATTATAGTTAAAGATACATTATAGTTAAAAATACTCTGTCATGGAGGCTACAAATTTCATAATTTTCCATGACCTCTGACGCTGGCTGAATTTGGATCAGAACTCCTGTGCTTGGAGCAGCTGCTGGTCAGTCCTGGTGCTGCCAAAGCACCAATCTCCAGACCACCATAACTGCAACTTGCAGTCAATTCTGGTGCTACTGGAGCAGTAGCCACCAGAACAGCTTCTTCTTGCTGGAGCAGTCACTGGCAGTCCGCTCCAGAGATTCCAGAACAGCTGACTAGTGGCTGGCCTTGGGACTGCCAGAGCAATGGTCATTGATCTGTTTACCATCAGATTTTTTTAGTAAAAGTCAGGATTGGGTTTCAGGTGTCCATGAATTTCTGGTTAGTGCTCATGACTTGTCCCTTAGGGTACGTCTAGATTACATGCCTCTGTCGCCAGAGGCATGTAGATTAGGCTACCAGGCACAGGAAAATGAAGCGGCGATTTAAATAATCGCAGCTTCATTTAAATTTACATGGCTGCCGCGCTGAGCCAACAAACAGCTGATCAGCTGTTTGTCGGCTCAGTGCGGTAGTCTGGACGTGCGGGTGTCGACATCAAAGGCATTTGTCGACCACTCAGGTATACCTCCAATTTCTGTGGTATACCTTTTGGAATACCAGTCGTGACTTAAAAATTGTCAATAATGATGAGTTCATTGTGACTCTTGATAAACTGTTCTTACACTTAATTATCCTCACTGTCAAAAATTATACCTTATTTTCAGTCTCAGTTTATCTAGCTTCAACTTTCAGCCATTGGATCATGTTATTCCTTTCTCTTTTAGACTGAAGAGCCTGTTGTTAAATATTTGTTCCCTATGTAAATACATATAATTGTAATTAACTCACCCCTTTACCTGAAGCTAAATGGATTGAGCTCTTTAATTCTACCACTGTAGGCAGTCTTATTCTAATTTTATAATGATTCTGGTGGCTCTTCTCTGAACCCTTTCCAATTTATCAACATCTTTATTGAGGCAGAGTTCTGCTCATTTAGAAGTCAAAAGATCTCTTTCAAAATAATGAAAGAAAGATCTGAGAAATTTTAATCTAAACCATAGAAAGCACTGTCAAGATTCAAAGAGCTGTTCAGTATGAAAATGTTTCATAGGCCTAGTTGGATTGATTTGAAATATTTAGGGGCAGTACACCTACTCAGTATACGTCTTGAATGAATGCCTTTTCTATAATGTAACCAGTAGGTACTTTTTAGAGACTTTGGAACAAAAAACTAAAGTACTTTATAAGATTAAAATAACAAAAATTTTCTTTCTTGATATATTCTAAGGATTATTATATTGTTTAGTCTTGTTTTATTCTGTGCATTGCCTTCCCATTATTATTAATTGATAATGCACTTTCTATCTCACTAAATTTAAAACATTAAGAGCATGCCTGTTAACTCAGTTGTATGTATGAAGACTTAACCAAAGGCTACTCAACACGCGGCACACAGTTCATTTGTTTGTGGCTTGCGGTGTGATTTGGGTTTACATGGGGCTCAACACGCGGCCCGTGGGTGGGAGCCAAAAAAAAGTAGTCAATATAATGGTCTTCTGTTAATATGCGTTTTAGTAGTTAAATTCCTGGACTGTCATTGCTCATTAAAAGTGCTATCGTGTGGGTGGAAATCAGGTAAATATTGCATTTTATTAATATCAGCAGAACCAACTTAAATGGGGCCAGTGTGTTGTGTAGTCTTGCCTTAATCTTTGTATTAATTCCCATCAGTGTGAAAGAAGCTATTTGCATGTATTTGCAACCACACTTAAGTTGCTGCCCTTGTTATGTACTGTGATTATTATTGTGGCTCCCGGGGCTTCCAAGTAGCCCTGACTTAACCAGTATAAATATACTTTGAAAATAAAATTGAAGACCTAATGTAGGCATAACTTCTGAGCCTGATTATATGGTTTATTATCCGTTTGGGGGAGTTGGGCAGAAGATTAATACGGTAATGCTATTCAAAACTTTTTACAATTACTGTAGGGCATAGGAGGTTAATGACCAAAAGCAACCACCATCTAAGCAGGATTCCTATTCTGATAAATGTTTATCCTTCAGGGTAAACATGTGGCATCATAGCTTGTTGGCATTTTTGTGATGCAGTTATATTTGCATTGTGATGCAGTATCACATAACAGTGAGTTGGATAGAAAACTTTTCATTAGAGTCTTAATAGAAACTTGGGCAGTTACTCAAAAATCAGGACTGGGACCAAAACTCTTGAGTGCTCGTCAGTAGCCTTTTTTGGTGGTGCATATATGCTTCATACACAGGTGTCTATTTTAAGGAAGTGAATGGTTAACCCATAAGCATACCCCTTATTGGATTATGCTTAGCAGTTCTGGTTAACAGATAAGCTAAGGCAGCCCCCAGCACACTGTGGGCAGGAGTGCTCCAGTCCAACTAGAGTAGTTCCAACCTGCAGTGGGCCCAGACCGGCATGCCACGGGCAGGGGCACTCCAGCCCGTCCACAGTAAGTGGGAGGGGGGGGAGCTGGGATCAGTTAACTGATTAGCTGGGATTTTACATTCCTCATCTATATTCTGTAAAGTATTAAGTATATGACATGTGGTACCTTTGTTGGAAGTCTGATGTGAGAGATGACTGAATGGGTCCTAACAACTGAATTATGGCTTCTAGAGGTAGCTCCTGCAGGTCAAGATTGGGGCATAATGATTTGAAAATATTAAGGAAGCTTTCATTATTGTTACTGTTATTCAAAGGACATCAGCTTCCAGATCTATTACTCTGTCACTTCTTGCAAACACCATATTAAGTTAAAATAGAAATCTAGCCATTAAAAGTATTAATAGAAAAAGAAACAGTATAAATAATGTATAAATCATATTATGTTAATTAGACCCTAATCCAAAGTCTTCTGAAAAAAATAGAATGCTTTTAATTTACTTCAATGGACTTTGGGGTCACACACTTAAGATAGACTGGTATGATTTACTGATAATTTCTTTTGCTTTGTGTAACTGCTTCTCTGTGCAGATACTTACTGATTTGATTCCTTATTCCTGGGACTTTTGGGAAAATTACTAGGAAGAAACATCACAGTAAGGCTTTTGTTTTATATTCTGAAATGAAGCAACAGTTTCATCAGCCTTAAAGATAGTTGTACTTAAAGTGGCATCTAGTTTGCGCAGCATTTATAAAATGGTTTCGTAGCTCTCAAAATGAAAGATATTCTGTGAAAGTTCATTCAGTTGGTTAGCAGTTTACTAAGATGAAGGTTATGGGGAAAAATAACTTGACTTTACATTCAGAACTAAATAGCCTGCATTTTGGCTAATTCTGTTGACCCTTGAATTCACGAACAAGAATTTAAGGAATATAGAAAAGTAGTCCTTCCAGAAATCAGTAACTTTTAGTAAATCTGTTCATAATTTTATATTTTAATATGGTGTATTTTTTATGCTTTTTTATGAATCTGAAAAATTGCATTGAGAATTTTAAATACTTGAATTTGTTTCTCCTCTTCAGGAAAGTTACTTTGACTATCAGAGGGCACAATGCAGAATCCTGGAGCTCTTTCTGAGGGTACAGTATACATTCTAAATAACTTTATGAGAAACTTTAGTTTTGTGTCTCGGAATGTGGTAGAAATTGGTAGAACTAAACTAAAATGAGTTCATATTTAGATTATTCTACCTTTACTTTATGCATATGGACTAGAATCACTATTACAACTGGAACAGTCGAGAATTTTTTGTTACTGAAGAGAATTGGCAGATGTACTTTAGTCTTTTCTTGTCAATTTGTATTTCAGTAGGGTTAAAAAGTATTTGCCTTTTATGTTCCCCATATTGGTAGGTGTGTATATGTGCTGTAATGCATCTTTACTATATTGAGACCTTTTCTGTGTAAATGTGATTTATTTGAATATTCATTTTTCTTTGAACTTTTATTGTGGAATTTGGAAAGATAACATTTACAAATTCTCCTTGCTTTTATGTTCGTTGTTGTAATGTTACTATACATAACTAATATAAATTAGAAAATGTAAACTTGTATTCAGGTATGCTGAGTGTAATACTTAGTGTTGTTCTGTATGCCTACTGTTGCATTTAGGGGAGACAGTCTCTGTATTTATTATATTTCCACTTTGTTCCTTCAGAAGTCTTTTCTTGTCAATTTGTATTTCAGTAGGGTTAAAAAGTATTTGCCTTTTATGTTCCCCATATTGGTAGGTGTGTATATGTGCTGTAATGCATCTTTACTATATTGAGACCTTTTCTGTGTAAATGTGATTATAATAATATTTACAGTTTGAATTCATAAGTTAAAAACATTTTTTACCATAAATATTAAAACCTGAGAGAATTGTCATGGATGTGACATGATAAGCCATAGTAGTCTCCAATGGTTTAGAGGGGGCTTGTTGTTAAATATACATTGTAGTGCTCATGTTAATTTAAAAAATACTTTTAAAACTAGAAGTCTAGAGTTATTACTGTCTTGTTTGTATTTTGACATTTTTTTAAACTATACACATTCTGAAGAAGCCTTTATGGTATGTCCTATTGTCCATGTTGTTCCTTTGGAAATGTATATTATTGTTGTATAAATCCATCTGTTTTGCATGTACTCTTAGTCCTTAAACTGAAAAGTCTTTGCTATAGGTTTTTTTTTTTTTAAATAATAAAAAGGATTTGACCCTATTGGAAATCACATATACTTGTTTATATTAAATACATTTTGAGTAATAGGAAAAAACTTAAACTTGTGAAGCAACTATTTTTTAATACTTTGAAACTGCAGAACCAATATTGTAATTGTTTTTAAAAGAAAAATTCATCCCAGGCTGATGTGATGTGCCAAGTTTGACCCTGGAGTGAATTATAGCTTAGGTATAAAACTTGGAAATGAAGAGTTATGATGGAAATGCTGACAGAACTAACGTTACATCAGTGTGAAACTTTAATATTCTAAAAATTATTAGTCTTGGTGTGAAATACTGTAGTTTGCCATTAATCGTATTTTGTCTTTTTTAATCACAAATCAGATTTGTTTTTTAAACACACTTTTGCACTGTGAAAATTCTATTACATTAACAGTTCATAATGATGTATGTGCAGTGATAACAAGATACATTTCTTTTGAATAAGTGGTGAGAAAACAAATGAAATTGGAAGTGGTACCTCTCAGTCAATTACACACGCAATATACTATTTGTTTTATCAGCCTATAAATCTGCTCTTTGAAAGTGCCCATTATTTTTCAGCTGTAGAAAGTCACAGCAGTAACTGTTAGTGCAACTTCCTTGATTGACAACTAAAACCCTTCACTCTTACATTTGTTACATAATACAAGTAGTACTACTGTAATTTGATATGTATTCCTGCAGGGCACATACATTCTGGTCAGGAAAACACTACTTTACGAACAGAACTTTTCAAAAGAAGTTTGCTCATGTGACAGAGAAATCGTCTGTATAGTAAATTCTTAAACTTTCTAGATTTTGCTTTTTTCCTAGAATTTTGAAATCTCTAATGCAACATCACAGGCTAGTAAATTGTTAATAATATATTGTAATATTGCATTATACACCGAATTTTACTTGCAAGCATATTATTTATCCCCTTAACTTGGAAACCAATATTTTTCTAATGCTTAATAGCCATGCAAAATATCACTGGGGGTGTGGGGAGGGCTAACAGTGCTTCAGATGTCAAATGTGTGATTTGTCAATTTTGTCTTCTAAACAAGGCTAATATGAACTATTTTTACAACATGAAACAGGTCAGGTATATCCAGGAATGTATTATGTTTTTCTATTATTTTTATACTTTACAATGAATGAAATATTACTAATGGTAAACTAGGTTTCACAGGTTTCCTGCTGGGCCTGGCCTTATCAATTCATTCATGTTAAAAGAAATCATTTGTATAATGCAGTCCAGTTCATATCAATGTCAGTACAGTCATTTGGAGCTTAAAGCTCTCTCACTTCATTTCAGAACCCCCTGCTGCCTTTATATCATTAATATAAATGCAGGTGCAAATAGCATTTATATACTTTGATAGAAAGCAGTTGGAGATGTTTCACTGTGGGACACATCACTTTCAGATTGCGTACATCTGTTCAAATAATGTATGCAAGCCCAGTGACATGAATGCAAGAATAAAAACATCTGCCCCTGAGACCACTTGCCATATAACAGATGTTTACATCTTTATTTATGCAGATGGCTTGTGTGATGAGTTGAGCAATGGTGAAAGCAGAGAAGTTTGACAAAAATTTGAGTGTTAGTCAGACATCTATATTTTGTTTTCAAATACTTACCACAAACAAAAATAGAAATCCATATAAACATACTGAATGCTTTTCATTAAACAAAGCACATTGTTTTTGACATTGAACAGATTGGCACAAAACCTGTAAACACTACAAAAATGTTCCACTTCAGCACAATAATTCCAGTTTATTTATACAAGATTCTAAATAGATTACTTGTAATAATTACCTTTAACAGGCAAGTTTGTCCGTATCATGCTTTAAAACAGTGGTTTTCAAACTATGGGTCATGACCCAGTACTGGGTTGTGGAATGTCAGGCACTGGGTTTCATTGCTGCAGGGTGATCAGGTGATGAGTGGTGGTGGTAAGGCAGGCTACCTGCCTATCCTAGCATCACAACTGCACCTCAGAAGTGGCAGTCAACAGGCCCAACTCCTAGGTGTGTGGGGCCGGGGAGAGAGCACAGGATTCCATGCACTGCCCCTGCACTGAGCACTACCTCCACTTGCATTGGCTAAGAATCTGCTGCTGGCTGCTACTTGAGCACAGCATGGTCTGAGGTGCCAGGAGAAGCAGGAAGCTAGCCTTAACACTCCTGCTACACTGCTGAGTGGGAGCAGCTTGAGGTAAGGCACGCGTGTGCACACACACACACACACACACACACCACAATCCTGACATCACCAAAGCTGAAGCCTCTTCTTACACTGCAGAGATCTCATCCTTGGACCACCTTGGAGCCCACACTCTAGTCAAATTATGTTGGGTCACTGGCATCAACAATTTTCTTCAACTGGGTCATGAGAAAAAAAGCTTGAAAACCACTCCTTTTAAATATAAATATATGTACTCAAAAGTATGCAAAATATCTTGATTGATTTGGAAGAGTTTCACATATGCAAAGATTGAACAGTAATAAACATTTTGAAAGAGATAAATTAATTAAAATTAATGTTTTAAAGTAATATATGATTTGTCATAAATCTTTTTAAGGTAGATAGTATTTCTCAATAAAAACAGCATTACAAAGTTGCAAGAATTTTAGGGTACGTCTACACTACATGATTATTTTGAAATAAGCCATTCTGGAAGAAATAGTCCAAAATAGCTTATTTTGAAATAGCATGTTTACACTACAGGGAAGCCTCAAAATCAGTCCAAGGCAGGCTTTCCTAATGTGGATGTGCTACCTCTATTTAGAGTTCCACGAGGCACTAGGTAGTAATTACTTTAAATTGCCCTGGGGAGGAACTATGTCGAAATAACAGCAGTGGAGCATCCACACTACATAAGCATAAGCCGTCTGTTATTTCAAATTTATTCTAAATGACAGAATTGTTGTGTAGACGCCCACATTGTTATTTCGGAATAACAGCTGTTATTTCGGAATAACAGCTGTTATTTCGGAATAACAGCTGTTATTTCGGAATAACAGCTGTTATTTCGGAATAACAGCTGTTATTTCGGAATAACAGCTGTTATTTCGGAATAACAGCTGTTATTTCGGAATAACAGCTGTTATTTCGGAATAACAGCTGTTATTTCGGAATAACAGCTGTTATTTCGGAATAACAGCTGTTATTTCGGAATAACAGCTGTTATTTCGGAATAACAGCTGTTATTTCGGAATAACAGCTGTTATTTCGGAATAACAGCTGTTATTTCGGAATAACAGCTGTTATTTCGGAATAACAGCTGTTATTTCGGAATAACAGCTGCTATGTAGACATACCCCTAGTTTAGAATTTCTGTTGTTTCTATCATATTGTGGGATTGTCTGCTTGCACTGCTGTACTTAGTTGAGATGGTACATTAATGAAAAGAATGGGTTTGAAAATCAATGAGCATTGGTCTAGACTTCATTGCTCAGCTTGGAATTCTCATTTCATACACAAGAAGGCACTTAAATAGAAGCTTTATTTTATTTCAGAATCTCCCTGCTGGACTGAGGCAATGTACTATTCTAACCACAGTTCACTTGCCTTCACTGTTAGAAGGTGGCTTTAAGCTCACTGCTTTCCAAAACAGTGTTTTGGGGAGTGGGAAAATATCCTGTTACCAGCTGCTGGGTACTCCAAATAAATACAATTTTTTACCTCTCTTCTTAGGCCAGCTTGAGAAGGCTGCCTGTTCATTTTGCAATTCTATTGATTCCTATAGATTTAGGTAAATCTTATATTGACACCCATCGCCACAAATGTTATTTGTTAAATTAGCTCTTATACCACAACATGTGTGCACCTTCCTCAAAGTATATCCTAGACTAGAGCATCCTATTTTTCCAGTACATGTGCCAGAGA